GCGTAACAGTTATAAAACAAAAATTAAGGTACGGTCATAAGCATCATTTCCTAACTATAAGATTCACCTTTCAGCTAATGAAGTATTTCATAATCAATGGCTGTTTTCTTGTGCAAGAACAAGCTTCTCAGATAATTACCTTAATAGCCCCCCTGAAAGATCCTATTGTACATAAGCGCAGCTGACTTCAAAGTTTTCTCACCATGCTTTGTTTCCTCCATCATCCTAATCAAAATCTAATTAATATAGATAATGCTGGTTCTAAGCATCTGAATGAATTGTTTTCCCTTCCCCTTTTTGTTTTTTTTTGGTCAAAGTTTGGAAGGGGAGGGGAGGGGGAAGGTGCATTTTCACTTCTATTTATGTCATCAATTATTTGCCTTGCCATCTCAAAGTCTGACCTAACAGATCTGTGATCAGGGGAACTTAGGTTGGGCCTACATGCAACAAGGGAACCATGTGGCTGCAGAAGTGGTGTATCGTAAAGCCCAAATCATCGACCCAGATGCCAACAAGGCCTGCAACCTATGCCTATGCCTGATCAAGCAAACACGATACGTCGAGGCACAATCAGTTCTTGATGATGTCTTGCAGGGCGCGCTTTCAGGATCTGATGAGCCCAAATCAAAAATTCGCGCCAAGGAACTGCTCCAGGAGCTAGAGCAATGTCAAACTGTAGTTTTGTCATCGAATTCATTGAGTTTGAATATAGAAGATGCTTTTCTGGAGGGGCTTGACCACTTGATGAAGCACTGGACCCCTCTAAGGTCTAGGAGACTTCCTATCTTTGAAGAGATTTCTTCATTTAGAGATCAATTAGCTTGTTGATTTTGTAGGGAGTTTGTAGATACTTCTCCATTATTTTTTGATGTTTGTATAAATACTATAAGAAAGTATAATCACTTGGCCATCTGTTCTCTTTGCTCAAGTGGATATCTTGTCCACTTTTTGTACTTTTTTCTCTTGTTAATGAAATTTGTTCCCAATCAAAAGAATGAGTAAAAAAACACTTTTAACAAACGAGTAATCAAAGGTATACCGGTCGTTGCACCCGAGTGAAATCTTTTGTCTGCTGTCAAAAGAATAAGAAAAAAAAAAAACACTTTAACAAATGAGTAAAACCAAAGGCGACGAGTTGAAATGTCTCAATATTGAAAAATGAAATATTTTTCTCACCATTTATTTCTTGCAATTATCGCCACACTAATTGTCATTGGATGAGTTGAATTTTGGGAAATGACCCTCACTACCACCCCTTTGTTAATATTAACTAAAAATACCACCCCTTCCCAATTTTTGTAAAACTACAACCTATAAATATAAAATTATTGTCCACTTATTGCTGATTTATCACAAGTTCATAAATTTTGGTCTCTCT